CTGCCAAGACCAAGGATACTTAGATCCCGAAGCGACCTGACTACTGCCTTGGGGTGGAGAAACTTCTAGAAATCACCATTAGAGGCTATAGTTTTACCCCCGTGGGACTTTACTATCTGCCCAGCCCTGGGCCCAGAGTTGCTCCAGGAATATATAACCCAACCGAGTTAGGTTGAATCCCAGGAGGAGTTCTGAAGCTGTTTCCAGTCTGTTTTACTGAATAAAACTCTCATTTTGATATGATGGGAAAAGAGGTTTGGCCAAACTCAATCTAAGCGTATCCTGCTTCCTAAACAACCTAGAGGCAACCGGAGAGTTACCATTGGAAAAATCATGCACGTATTCTTCACTTCTGAAAGTGCCTGCTTACAGTATTGCATAAAGTCTCAGACAAAGCTTGTTTTCTGGCCTATTCTTAGCAGCTGGTAAAATGGCCTTTCGGGGGCCTTGCCTCTGATGTGCAGACTGGCGTGGTGTCACCTCAGAGGTGATAATCATCCCCTCTGCCTACTTCCCTTTGTGAGAGGGAGACACGGTCCAATTACCATGTGTCCCTGCCCTTACTTGGCCCCAGCAGATTGGATGTCAGGCCTGACATAAGTCAATTAGCTTTCCTGCCTGGAGGAGCTGGAATTGGTGGCTGCCTGAGTGACCTAGCTGTATGGGTCTCTCTTGTGTTCCCCAAAGAGCTTCAAGCGTGGCAGCCTTCTGGGTAATGTCTTCCTTTAATATCCAATGAAGATTTAATAAGATGAGTAGAAAAGAGGAACTTATATATTTGTTGATTGTCCAGTAAATGCAAACAAAGATTCTTCATTGTGCCCAAGCACAATCTTTTTGTGTTATTGTCAAATGCACCATTCCCGGCTAATTTCTCCCACTGTTAGGATAAAGATAGCAGAACTGTGATTACTTGCAGCGCCCTGGCTCTTCAGAACCTATTTGTATGGAAACTATAGATTTTCTGGCCTCTGCAGTTCCCTAACACCATTTAATTAATACTGTATATATTGTTGCTCATGTTACATCATGCATTTCGCAACACCCCCCCCCCACCACCACCAAATCCCAACCCTCTCCTCCCTTCCCCCCTCCCTGACCGTGAATACTGGTTTCCAATGACTTTCTCAAAGGTTGTTACTGTGCTTTGTTATGGGAGCCAAAAATGCTAATCTTACCTGAAAGTGTGTAGGAAAAGGTGAGGATAATTTTTCTGATCATGTTAACTTTACCGTTTGGAATTCTATAGTGTGAATACAGACTAACACATTGCAACCATGAACTTCCAGGCTGTGGTTACTGCATTTCCACATGTGATGTCTTTCAGTGTTGACTGCTTCCTGACAGATTCCAACGCTAGTCAGGTCCCTTAAACTTCCTTGTAAGAACGCTCCTAAGTCAGGTTAACCAGCACCCCCATCCTTGAACCTGAACACCCTCTGTATCTGATCATCTTCTTCATCCTCCACCCCCAAGCCATGTCTGATCACCCTGGCCTGTCTTTAGCCAAGAATCCTGTTAGGTCAGTGGTTGGCAAACTCATTAGTCAACAGAGCCAAATATCAACAGTACAACGATTGAAATTTCTTTTGAGAGCCTAGGGTACTCCTAAGGCTTAGGAAGAGCCACACTCAAGGGGCCAAAGAGCCGCATGTGGCTCGCGAGCCACAGTTTACCGACCACGGTGTTAGGTCAACTTAGCTAGAATGGCCTTTACCTCTGATGTTTCCTCATAGTAATTTTCCATGCACTCACCCCTACCCAGATATTTAGCTATAATTCCCACTTGTCTACTCTGCATTTGGAGTTGAGCCCCATGTCTCTCCCCACTGCGAAATCCCATTGCAGTGGTCCCTAGGCCTATCCTGACGGTCCTGAATAAAGTCCACCTCACCATCTTTAACAAGGGTCCTTGAATTTTTTTAACCACCTCTGCCTACCACACACACTGTCCTGTTGCCAGTGGGGAGGCTGGGCGAGGGCCCAGGAGCATAGTGAGAAGAATGGTCCCGTCCAGACAATGAATGGCTGTTCCTTGTCCAATGCAATTTAAGACTGACCTGGGAGAGCATGACATCAACAAACCAACTGGAGGGAAGAGGGGACACCAATTGGAAGCGCCAATCACAGAACAGTGGTCGTTAGGCCTTCTGAGGAGAAAGAAGTGGCCACCCGCCCCGAGGGCTGCCTGGCACGTGGCACAGAGCCTGCAAGAGGGTAGGGAGCCCTTCTTGGGTGGAACTGACAGGATGCACAGGGGATAGGATGCCTGCCACCACCTTGCCACACTTGGATGCTAGACCAGAGACAAAGCTGCAGTCAGAACGCTGACAACAGAGTCTGGGGCTGGAGAGCAGGGGTTAGCTGTGGATTCGGTGGCCAAGAGCTCTGTGCTTGTCCTCTGTCTGACATGTCACCCCAAATCAACATGTCAGCACCATTCCAGAAACCTATTAGTATTCTCACCAGTGAGAATGATCAGCTTTCCATGTTGCCTTCTTGGAACTGGGGCCAGACATAAGTCCAGGGACTACCCCACGGGCAGGAGTCTGACTTCCTGGGGGCATCTGTTTGACCCCACATGAGGTTGACCCCTAAGGGGGAGAAACAGGTACCAGGCATCTGGTTGACCCCACACAAGCCTGACCCCTAATTGAGAGGAGAGAAACAGGAACTGGGCGCACCATCTGCCTGGCTGGTCCCAGGCATCGGACAAAACGACCCGGGATGGTAGTTGGTAGTTGCTTTTTGCAAACGGAGTCCATACTGGATCAGTTTCGGGTCGGGGCACCCTGCCCGCAGGCCGCTGCTGATCCAGGTACTAGTCCCAGGTACCCGAGGAAGACTTAGAAATAAAACTTGAAGAATTCACTCTCAAACAGAGGTGTGTGAATTTTTTTGTGTGCAACGGGCCAGACAGTGGATACTTTAGGCTTTGCAGGCTGTATGGTCTCTTTCTCAGTTCTGCCGTTGTAGAAGCCAGCAGCCAACGACAAATGTAACCAAACGGGCAGAGCTGCATTCTAATAAAACTTTATTTACAGAAACAGGCAGTAAACTGGATTTGGCCCGCTGGCTGGATCCCAACCATTGCATGTGGCAGAGGACCACGGGCAGAGGCGGCACTTACCTGGATCGAATGGTGCTAATAGTGGGACTACAGGACCAAATGATAAATGCACCTGTAATTGTGGTAGATATGCACAGACTCCCCTCTACAGAGCTCTTATCGTGGTAAACTTATCATTTACCACCAGCAATTGCATCTGATTCCCTACAGCCTTGCCAAGAGAATGTTTTATCCGATTTTGAATTTTTGCCAATTCGATAGTGAGAAATGGTATCTCAGTGTGATTTTAATTAGCATTCTTTCCATCTGAGTAGTTCTGAGCATCTCTCTCGTTTTTTTTTAATGAACCATCTGTCTTGGGCTATTTTATTATTTTGTTATTGGCCTTTTTCTTCCTGATTTATATTAGTTCTTTACCTATTAAGATTAGCCCTTAATGTGTATGCTGCCATTGTTGGATATGGTAGTCTATGTATGTATCAATTAGGTCAAAGTGGTTGACAGCATTGTTCAAATGTCTGAGATACCTCGTAGTCACTCAAGTGGAGCTGTCCAGCAAGCATTTGGAAATACACATCCGGAACTCAGGTGAGAGGCCTGGACTGGAGAAATGAGCTTGGGAATATTAGAAACAATGCGATGGGTTAGGTCACCTGGGGAGAAAAAGTAGAGAAGAGGTAATAGATACATCACAACGTTTAGAGATTGAGGAGGAACCACCACAGGACAGAGACGGGGCCTCCAGGGGTGTAGAAAATAAAGCAAAAGGCCAATGAGAATTCTTATTGAGAATTGATCACTGGATTCGCCAACATGGAGACTATAGATGACCTTGACAGGAATACTCTCAGTTGAGGGGTGGGGACAAAAGCCTGACATCTCGGAGAGCAAAGTGATTAGAGCGCTGGTGGTCGGTGAGGTCTGAAAGGTTGGCGACCGCTGGATTAGAGAAATACAGTCGGCTGCTAGACAGTTGAGGGTTAACTTGATGTCTGAGGTTATAAACTGAAGGGTGTGTCGGAGCAGCCATGAGTTTTTCACCAGCCACATTCAGCTGCTCCAGGGCAGGGAAAGCATCGGTGGAGAGCTATGTCTAACCAGAGCTGTCCAGTCACGATGAAGGTGGTAGTGGAGGATGTACGGATTGATGAGCCCAGGAATCTAAGCTGGAAAGTGAGAAGAGTGCTTCGAACAGAGAAAAAAGTGATAAAGCAATAGATTGGAGATCTAGGTATGGTCAAAGCCAATATATTATACTCATAACTACAAGATATATACACAGATCACCCCAGTCTCTTCTGGGTGAGTTCTACACAGGCTTCAATGTCCATGTAGTTTATTTAAAAAAAAAAAACATACAACAGGATGGGTAAATATTCTTCAATTTTATTCTTGAGTTTACAATAATTCAAGGATGAAAGATGCCCAGAATAAATGGGTAGACTATCATACCACAGATATATTATATGGCAAGGAAGCCCAAATACTGAAAGACTTTTTAAAATGTACTTCATTTGGCTACATCACTGATAGTCTCGATGCGGAATTTTTGATGTCTTCCAGAAGATACATTACCCTAAGCTCCCATTTTATCATGTTCTGAGAAACGATTTAAAAAAAAATGGTTGGTAACCAAGAATAAAAAAATGTTTTCAAAAAATTATCTCTGTGTAAATAAAGTGTCTGGTAGATTAGTGAAAGTAAGAAGTTTGGAAAGCAGGAATTTTTATATTGTATAAAAATACTGTGAATTCACATTATTTAAGACTGATAACAAATTATTTTTGTGGGTAAATAGGTCATCTTATCATTCGCATACTTATCTAAAGGCTTTCAAAAAACAGTACAATGTTTTAGAGGAATCTATATCCCTCTTATAAATTAATCCAGTTAATTGATGACTGATTTTTCCATGTTTTTATTTTTTTTAATCACATGCCTTTTAGACGTTTTGTTGCTGTAACCAAGACTGAGAAAGGAGCAATAATCACTCATCCTAGTTCTTTCTCAGCGTCTACCTAGAATGACGGGATCTGGGAAGGGTGGTAGCAATGAAATGTTCTCTGGAATAAGGCATTGTTCTCTTTATTCTACCGTTTTTATTTATCTGAGTTTTCCTGGGGCTTAGGAACATGAATAATTCACAGTTGGCTACACTTACCATCAAGACATTAAATGGAGGTCTCCCTGCCTGAAATCTAAAAGCAGCAGCAATGCTCTGTTCCATAGACAGCCCTGCTTCTCCATTGCTCTCCTCTCGGGTAATCAGGTAGGTACTCCTGGTGCATTGGTGGGGGGGGGGGGGGGGAGGGCAGGGTCATAGGAAGAGTACTGGCTCAGGAGATTGGACACCTGGTCTTTAGTCACAATTTGGTCACTTTGCCGCCGTGCAACCTGTAAAATGTAACTTCTCTGAGCTTCAGTTCTTTTGTTATAATACAGAGAAAGACCCACCTGACCTATTTCACAGGCACTGTCAATGAACTAGACTACAGGGGTTGATAGATGCTTTAAAAATGTGGTTTGCTGGCCCTGGCCGGTGTGGCTCAGTTGGTTGGACGTACACCAAAAGGTAGTGGGTTTGATTCCAAGTCAGGGCACATACCTAGTTGCGGGTTCAAGCAACCAATTGATGTTTCTCTCTCACATTGATGTTTCTCTCTCTCTCTCTCTCTCTCTCTTCCTTCCTCTAAAATCAATCTTTACAAAAATGTGGCTTGCTGTTCACTATTTGATATTAAAAAATCAAAATAGAGAAATCATTGGGAAATATAAATGTTTATGAATCACACGGTGCAAATGTAAACAAGTAATTTACCAGTACTTTACAATAAAATCAAATAAATTATTTATGGATTTTTTAAAAATAAAGAAGTCTTTGCAGATAAATATTCGTCAGCTTAACTTAATCATTCTTTCTTTCATAAGAATGTTCACTACGTGACGTTATAACTCTCCAAAGGAGAATTTTGATAATTCGTTCAGTTCTCTGCCTTAGAAGCTTCATTATAAGGCAGAAGAATGGAATAATTAAAGTTTTAAAATAAGCAATATATAACTCTAAACCACGGTCCCCTTATTTTAAAGAGTTTAATAGGAACACTTTCCCCAATAGATGTATAAACAATCTACTGTTTATATAATATTAACACTAACTCACAACTAAGCCATGAAGATCAAAGCTAATGTGCATTTTTCTTCCCTTATCAACTAAATTATTAAATATCTGATGGTCTTAAAAAATGAACTACATGTGATATAAAAATGCTCACCTATTGAATGAATAAATGGTGGTTAAGTGTTTGGAATATAGATCAGAGGTTAGAAACTGTTTGAGATATAGCAGTGTGTATGACAGGGTCGCCTGTAGCAATGAGCCTGAACAAACAGATGACATGTACAGGCATGAGAAACCACTGAAGTAACCCACCAACTTCTCTCTTAAAATGGCGCACCTCAAAATATCAACGGACTTCTCCAGAAGAACCAATTCATCACCTGCCCATTCTAAATCTTCTATGTTAAATGGCACAGTGGTTTTAATAAGAAACAATTATCATGTAGGTAAGTAACACTACATTCAGGACAGTAACAAAATTTTTGGACCAAATGACAAAAGTATGTCAATAAAGTGTATTTAAGAATAACTATATAATGCTAACATTCTAACAGCACTATGATCTTTGCTAACAACAAGCCAAGATTCAGTTCTCCATCAAAAATTTCTCTCTCTCTCTCTCTCTCTCTCTCTCTCTCTCTCACACACACACACACACACACACACACACACACACACACACACACTTTCTCGTCTCTACAAATGCAGCTTGGATTATTTCCTGTTCTTAACTATTAAGTCTTTTGAACAAGATCGACATTCTTTCAACAAATCAATGATCAAAAATGACCCACTGCTTTCATGAAAGATCTCTCAAGGTCATTCTGTGTTTCAAGGGCAGCCTGCCAAGGACTTGCAGAGATGAAATTGAATTAGCATTGGCACAGGGAAATTCATAGCAGCAGGTCAAAGTCCATTTATCTTATGCTCAGCAGAACCTATTTAGGTCAGGTGAGGAGTAAGTAATTGGCAAATTGTTCCTCATCTAGCAGAGAGGCGGGTATAGTTAAAAACTATTGAAAAGCGTGGTTGGACCCCTTTCATTCTATGGATGGTATGCGGTAGGCACCACACATCCGTGAGACAAGAGAGGTTAAACTAGAACTCTCCCCTAAACTGGCATTATAGGTTAAACAATAATCAAGTACATTTCTGCTGTGTCTGTGGTTTTAAAATGATTCACTGTAAACATCCTATAGGCTTTCCTACTTCATTAACTTCGGAGATTGAGCTTGATTCTATGTCTGTGTGAAATTAGCATAAATACTGTTCATTCTGGTTCGACACAAATTCCTTTAAAAAACGTTAAGGCCATTTAATGGAATCAGGGCCAAGTGCAGAGTGCCCCGACTGAAGTCAAACGACTGATTTACGATTTCTGAAAAAGCCATTGGCGGTTATCTTGCGTTTTCCTTCTCGGTACCTTGAGAGCAGTTTGTAGGATTAATTAGTCTCCAACATCTCCATCTCGATCTCCAATAAGCCAAAGAAAATGAAAACTTAAGGCTAACAACGCTGTCCCAAGAAGGTCCCCCAGTGCCGTTAGGTAGGGGATGGAGAAGCTGTCCGGATCCTTTCCCTTCCTCCAGAAGTGACGGACCATCCAGTCAGCGATCCACAGCAAGGTAAATACCTACAAGAGAACACCAGCGATTACTCCTGTGGCCTGGACATTCCCAGTTTGGTGAACATGACCATGAGTCTAAACTACTGCTTTCAAAAAGTTAACAGCTTGCATCTCAGAACCATGCTTGAAAAGAAGAAATAGCTCATTGACAGGAAGATTTTCTTTTCACAAGAATACATTTCATTATTTCTGTGATAAAATTCTTCTTCAACATTTCACATGTATCTTCTCATTTTCTTCTAGCCTCCCAATTACCACAATCATCCTTATAGTTAATAGAACTGTGCAACTGCCAAATCACTGGTTTGTTTCAACTTTTTTCTATATGATAATCCTGTGACGTAGGAAGAAGATACATGAAGAAGAATATAAATATTACAATTAGGAATCATTTAATTCCTAAATGATTGAAATAAAGATGGAGAACTGACCATTCATTTATTAATTACTAGAGGCCCAGTGCACGGATTTCGTGCACTTGATTGGGGGTCCCTCAGCCCAGCCTGTGCCCTCTCGCAGTCTGGGAGCCCTTGGGGGATGTCTGACTGATGGCTCAGGCCTGCCCCCTGCCGGAAGCAGGCTTAAGCTGTCAGTCAGACATCCTTAGCACTGCCACGGGGGCTGGAGAGGCTCCCAACACAGCTGCTGTGCTCACCAACCGTGATCCCAGCTTCTGGTTGAGCAGCGCTCCCTCTTGGGAGCACAATGACCACCAGGGGGCAGCTTCTGCATTGAGCGTCTGTCCCGTGTTGGTCAGTACACATCATAGCAACTGGTCGTTCTGCCATCGGGCCAAAACTGGCTCTCCAACATCCCTCAACGGGTCCCAGATTGTGAGGGGGCACAGGCCAGGCTAAGGGACCCCACTGGCGCACAATCAGGGCAGGGAGGGACACTGGAGGTTGGCCAACTGGGGAGGGACCATGGGAGTGCTCCAGGGTGTGTCTGGCCCATCTCTCTCAGTCGTAATTGGCCGGACCCCAGCAGCAAGCAACCGACCAGTTGGGGCATCTGCCCCTGGTGGTCGGTGCATGTCATAGTGACTGGTTGACCAGTCGACTATCTGCACCCTGGTAGTTAGTGCATGTCATAGGGAGTGGTTGAGTGGCCTTAGCATATCATTAGCATATTATGCTTTGATTGGTTGAACGGACGATGGGACGCCAGGACAACCAGACACTTAGCATATTAGGCTTTTATTATATAGGATAAGGCCATTGGTGGCTTGCAGAAGAAAATTTCATGGTGAGAACAATGAACAGAAGGTAAGAGCATTGAGGAATGACCTGTCTATATAAATACAGATGTAGACAGCGTGTCGTTATTTTAAGTGACTATTCAAATACTAAGGTAATCATGTGTTTTCTAGGATATCGGGAATACAGGAGTGGGCAAAAGTAGGTTTACAGTTGTGAGTACACAGGTAAACAGTTTATTCTTGTATTATGATTTATTTTGTAGTATTTATTTGTGTTACAACTATAAACCTACTTTTGTGCATCCCTGGAAAAAGACCTCTGTGATTCTTTGAGTTTGGGGATCAGATAAATGGTTTATTTTGTTTTGTTTGTTGTTGTTGTTGTTGTTGTGTGTGTGTGTGTGTGTGTGTGTGTGTGTGTGTGTGTTTATCCATTTAGAGTGGAAGGATTCTGAGATTTTCAAACTCCTGAAGGGTTAAGGGGACTTAAGATTAGAGAGGTTAACGTTCACTGGTTAGGGACAAGCCGGCAAGTACAGTGGATTACTGAAGAGCACTTTTCTAGCCCTAGCGGTTTGGCTCAGTGTTTGCTTGGAATATTGTGAATAATGAATTATTTAAAATGGCATTAAGTAGCAGGTACTTAACGCAACATGTTTTATTTTAAAACTAAATGGTTATTTCAGAAATGCATGCTTTTCACAGTGAAAACACCTCAAAAATCAAAGTAAGAGTAAGCTGTGTTTTCTTTCACATCATCTGTTTGTTTTTTATGGAATATGCATAACCTTTTAGAGGTAAATATACCTTCTGGAAAGGCAGTTTTGTAGCCCCAGCTAACTGTGCACCTTCTAGCTGTGTTACTTGGAATTTAAATAAATATGTAAAGTACAAGAATATATATATTTGCTCTGGACAATAGTGGTTCTCTTGGCCAGCACCTTCTCTGAGCTACTTCTGCACACTTCCCTGCAACCCTAAGATCAGGAGTCTGCTCTGCTTAGAGACATTTTGCCTGATCCCAGCATAACTCCTTTACAATAGCAATGAATTCAACTGTGTCTTTTTATTTCTGACACGGAATGATGGTTTCATCATCCTTTGACATCTTTAAGAATCCCTTTTAATGAATGCAAACCTGTCTCGTTTTACTACATTTCCCTAGATGGCACAAAAACAATTTAGATTCGTTTTGTTAGTCAGAACATGGCTATTTCGTTTTAAAATTAAAAAGTGGGCCGAAACCGGTTTGGCTCAGTGGATAGAGCGTCGGCCTGCGGACTGAAAGGTCCCAGGTTCGATTCTGGTCAAGGGCATGTACCTGGGTTGCGGGCACATCCCCGGTGGAGGATGTGCAGGAGGCGGCTGGTCGATGTTTCTCTCTCATCGATGTTTCTGACTCTCTATCTCTCTCCCTTCCTCTCTGTAAAAAATCAATAAAATATATTAAAAAAAAATTAAAAAGTGGTATGGCGCTAAATATTTACTTTTTTAAGTAACTAAAAATTTTAAGTTATAGAATCATTCAGGCCAGTCCTTTGGGAGTGAATATTCTGGGTCACAATCAACCAAGATTTTATTCTGAAAAATTTGAGGAATGGTTTTTTCCATTAACGCTTGCACACAGCTATGCCATAAGATTTTTTGGTAGGTGATGTGAAAATTCCTCTAAGTCATGTCTGCAATCTCAGCAGGGCTCGGGAACAGCCTACACAGCACACTAGAAAAAGATAGCTCAGCTTCCCTGGTCCTATCTTCTTCTTATTCAGACTCGACAGGCTGAAAAGAGCTCCACTTCTCAATGACTTGCTCCACGGGATGCAGGATGCTGTGCCTCTAATGAGGCAGGGCAGTCATTGCATCTTCTATGCAGAACTGCCTGGAGCCCCAGCATACCTCTCTAGCGAATTAATCATAGGAGACCTCTCAATTTTAAGACCCTGCCATCTAAGCTATAATAGCATAATCACATTATTATATCACACAAATGCAATCACATAGCTAAAAAGGAATCTCAAAAATTCACCTAGTATTTCAATTTCCTACCTTCAGGTAACCATATGAATCAACTCCCAAAGTTAAAAGTGAAAAAAGTATTAGAACTGTAGACCCTCCCCTCACTTTTCCTTTATCATTCTCTTCACACTTTTCTCTCAACCCAAGCTAACAGACAGAAACCAATTAGGAGGCAGAGGCAGAGCAGTCACACAGAAAGAATAAAGAGATCCCTGCTTTCCAGATGGAATCTGGCGGATTTAAATCCTGAGGAGCGAAAAAAGAATGTGAGTGAGGTCAGTCAGGCAAACTGTTAAAATCTCCTAGTTGGTTAGCTCTTTCAGATGCCATCTGGGAATTGGATTTGGGTTAAGTATCGAAATATAAAAGATATAACCACACCATTTAATGAGGACCTACTATGTGCCGGGTATTTATAACTACTGTGCAAAGAGAAATCATTGTCCTCATTTTACAGGCAAGAGCAAGAAGATCCCCAAAGAATTAAGTAACTTGCCCAATAAGGCTAAGCCAACAAGGCTAAGCAACTTTGCTTAGCTACTGCGTACTTATTCTGGGGTTCCACTTACGGTCATGTTGCCACCACATAACTACATTCTTCCTTATTTAGAAGAATGACTCCAAGGAATGGGGTATCAGAGGCATGGTAGGGATTCTTAATGCTAGAATCCACAGGGTTTAATCCTCTCACTGACACCGTAAGAAACTCATTGCCCAGTAATCCACAGCTACTATGATGATGATGATAAAATAATGAAACAATAATAGCACTTCAGATGCATTATCTCTTTTTTCTGCCGGGGTCCAACCCCAGCAGGTCCAGGGGTTCCCAAAGGTGTACACGGAGTCGGCAAAGAAGGAATGACACGGAGACAGCGTTCAGTTGATCAGCAGCCTAGCCAGGACCTCTAGCCAGGATCTCCAGAGAGGTTCTGCTTAGGATCTCCAGCCAGGTTCTGTGTCCATGTTCTCTTGCTAGGTTCTCCAGGTTCTCCAGCCAGGTTCTGTAGCCAAGTTCCCTCGCTAGGTTCTCCAGCCAGGTTCTGTCACCAGGTTCTAGTCAGGTTCTCTTGCCAATTTCTGTAGTCAGGTTCAGTCCAGGATCTTTTGCCATGTTCTCTCCAGCGAAGTTCTTCTGTCTGTAGGTTCTGTGTAGGTTCTGTCTTCTAAGTTCTGTGTGTAGGTTCTGTCTTCTCTTGGTTCTGTCTTCTAAGTTCTGTCTTCTTACGTCTGTATTTATACCAGTTGATTCCAATCCTATCAATCTCTATTCCAAAGGTTAGGGCGTTTCTTATCTCCATTCCAGGGAGTAAAGATTATGTAGCTTAAGCATGATTGTTCGTAGTTAAAGTGATTAATTACCCGCCTGGCACTTAGTTAAGGGGTTTTATTCCCTCCCTAACTTCAGGGGAAAATCCCTACCTGGGGAAACAACCTTTCTCAGAGACCTTGGTTAAAACACATAGTGCCAAGAAGGTGAGCAAACATATCAAGAACAGTATGCCATATATGCCAGGTCCCTTGAAACAGCAAGGATGGACCGGCTCCCGGCATTTTTCCTTATAAAAAGCCCTGAGGTAGGTCTATTCTTAGTCTCCTTTTACGGATGAGAAAACACAGGCCCTGAGAGAATGCCTTGCCCAAACTGCCACAGGTGGTGAGTGGCGGCAAGCAGAGCCCAAGCCCTTACACACTATCCCCACTGCTTCAGAGGAAATGTATCAGATCTCTCAGGTTTGCTGGGAGTGGGGAAAGTGCTGAAAATTATCATTCTACAGAATCAGCTACACTC